CCTGCTCAATATGTGCAATGTTATGAGAACTTTTATGCCATGAGGGTCTCGAAGGAGGCAATGGCATGATGAAGGGCACTGGTACCATCTACACCTCCATAACAGGAGCTCTGGGGCATCAAAGTAGTTTTTCAGGATTACAAACGCCATGAGGAATCTTTGGGAACCAAGAATGATCATGAAGGGGACTTTGAAACTGACCATTCGGACCAAGAACACTTGGGTTTCAAGTAAAGGCCACGCTACATTTCCTAAGAGGAGGCTGGGGTGCACCCACAAAGGCAAAGAAGTCACCCGATGCCAGAGACCATTACAATTTGGAGGATAAGGTGGCCTCTGAAGACTCCATCGGGGAGTCACTAAACTGGAGGGATGGTACTTAATTTTGGGCATTGGGTCCCCCTTCTTCAAAAGGAATACTGTTCCCTGTAGCTTCAGTGGCTGCTGTAAGAAGAGCTCATTTACAAAGACATCTCCTACAAAGAATACCATACACATTAACCAGGACTTGTCTATCTCTCTGCTCTAATTAAGTTTTAGAGTTAGGTATAATCATTCTCCCTCTGGCCTGAAACACTGAAAGCCCACTGGAAATGTAAAATCCCAAAGTAATTCAATATATACTAAATTTAAAGGAAATAATCGATGTCTATTTCGAATTTATACACATTTCCTTCCCACTTTAACACTGTCTTATTTCCCTTAAGTTCCTCTTTGGACATTAGGATGATCTGCAAGGTTATGGTCATTGAACAGTTTGTCATATGCTGCAGGTATTTCTAGACCAAATGAGACTCTCAATGTACTTGCATATAACTGAAGAAAAATGTATTAGGCACTTCAGGACAGGTCCTTTTATGTTCTATATTCACAGTCCCATTGATCCACAGAGAGTGTAGCATCTACTAGGTATTCAGTAAATGTTTACAGAATGAATCAAAGAAAAAAAATTATCTACCTTCTGACAGGATTATTTTCACACATTCAAAAATCTCAGGCATATCTGACCCAGCATATGTGTATGCATCTGTGCATGCATGTGCTCTCAAAACTCCCACAGGCTCGCCCTTCAAGGTTGAATACGTTATCCTTCCTCTTGGCATGCATGTGTGTGCAACAAAACACTGAAGCAAGATTGACTATAAAGATTGTCCTTAGAAAGATACTTTTAATTAGCATTTCCCTCAAACATGCCAACCTTCCAGCACCTCAAAATTGAACTCAGTTTTTGTTAGGTAAGCTGTCTCCTTCTCCCTAGAAAATATATACCTTTTAAAGTTTGAACTGCCTATTTACATCTTAAAGTTCATAATAATAGAAATGCACAGTTTACTTGTTATGCTTTCCCTGAAAAATTCATTTTGAACCACTTGCCTAACCCAGGCTACTTTTACTTCTGCTTAGGCTAATGTCCAACACTTCTCCCTTGTTTTCAACTCTTAATACTTCTTGAGGCTAGATCTCTATCCCACCCCACCCCCATCTGTATTCTTGAGGCAGGATGACAAAAACCAGACTATACTTGAGCCTCCTACGATATCCTGCCCTGGAGATGCTCAGCAGGCAGTTGGAAATTGGAGTTAGCCCGGAGCTCCGGAATGAGTTAGGGATTGGAGGGGTCAATTTGGGAATCATTAGTGTAGAGGTGAAAGGTGAAGCTATGTGAGGAGATGAAGTTACCCAGAATGAGAACACAGAAAAAGAAGAGAAGCAGATCAATGACAGGCTTGGGAATTGCTCCATTGAAAGGGTTGGGGGGTGGGGGGGAAGCTGTGTGTGTTTGTGTGTGTGTCTGTGTGTGTGCATGCATGTGCTTAAAAGATATCCCAACAAAGGAGACCTATGAAATGTTGAGAAGACAGGAGGTGAACCAAGATAAATTATGAATGCTTTCAAGCAAGAGAAGATGTGCGAAGGCACCAGAACCTCCAAAGAGTTCAAGAAGACTGAGGCCAGAGAAAAGGCCATTGGCGTTTGAGTCACAGTGGTCACAAATAACCTTTAGGAAAGCGATCTTCCAATGTCATTCTGTGGACTCTGTGTGCCCACGTGCAGATGTGTATAGGTGTATATGCATGTACCTCAAACTACCATATGATTAACTATGTAATGAATAAGACTGTACTGGGTGTGCCAGATAACAGCAGTAACAGCCACTACCACTCACTGATGGTTTATAAAGTGCCAGGAACAAGGCTAAGCACTTGAGATGCCTGAACTCAATTTAATTTTTGCAACAGATCTATAAGGTGGCTACATTTTACATGTGAGGAAACGGAAAGCCCCCAGAGGTTAAATAAATTACTCAAGGTCACCCTGCAAGAAAGTGGCAGCACCAAAATTGGACCTGAAGACCGACCAACTCCAAGAGCAATAAAGTAACACTTCCGGTGTGCTGATGTGAGCTGGGTAATCCGGTCACGGGGATGAAAGAGCTGATATTGGTTGACTGTTTCCTACTGCCAAGTGCTTTGCATAGGACATCTCCTTTCACACACACGCCATCAACATCATGGCTATGTTTAGGGCAACTTTATCAAGGCATATATATATTTTTAAATCCGATTCTGCTTTTTAGAAAATAAGTTGAAGCTATATGATTTTAAAACATCTCGTTACAATTCAAATGTATTTACTATCATAGCTCCCAATGGTTTGAAAGTTTTAAAAAAGTGTGGCATCATTGATTTGGTGGTGGTTGCTGACATTCAAATTATTGACAATCAAACTCATTTGAAAAGTGAGGGAATTTGACAGGGTGATCTGAAGGCCTCCTCCAGCCTTGACTTCCTGTGGTTCTCCTATGCATGTATAATGCCAATCATTTTAAAGATACGGAATAATGAGTGGAATGTAAATGCAGCAGCAGAACTGGTTGGTGCGCCAGCACCCTTTTATTCCTTAAATTTATAGACGACTATTGTTAAAAGTATTATAAAAAACAGTCTTTAGTTGTCCGAGCCACTGATTGCTAACTTAAACAGAAACGTGGAAACTCCATCACAAAATGGTACACTGAAAATCCAGCCAATTCGTTTGCTTAAGCAACTGCAGACTTTATATTATGGCTGGCTATAGGAAAAAGAGAGAGAGAGTGACACTCTGGCAATTAATGTTTTTGCTGTCTATAGAAAAACAAATGAGGTTCTGGTCTGAAACAATTAGTATCAGTGTTAATTGTGCATGTGCGTAACAATAATACAAGGCATTTGGGCTGGCTTCCACTGATTGTTCCCTTCTTTCTCTGGATTACAGAATTCATTCAGACAACTAAATAATAGTGAGAATTTATGCAAATTGTTAATTATGAGGCAGAGCTCATCATAATCTTGTATATTTCTCAAACCGCATGTGCAGGGGGTTACCAAATGAACTGTTGCTTTATTTTTACTAGTGGTTGAAAAATACGCTAGCCTTGCAAATCGTTTTCATACGTTACTCAGCCCAGAAGCACCAAAAATGGCCTCAGTGACATTTACCAAAGCTGTTTCTCCTCCTTCTCCCCATCTGTACCTTTCTTCCTTTCTCACAAAGTCAGAGCAGCTATACATTGCTCTGATGATAACTGATCAGCACCATAATAAAAAGAGAGCATTCACTTTGTTACATAGCGAAACTGGTATAGACATAGAGTTCTTTCATGTAGTAAGTTTTAAAGCAAACCTAAAACAAAATTCTCAACATTTCCCCCATAAAAGCAATGGTTAGGATACTAGTTTGTATGTTATTGACCATTATTTTAATGGTCATCCACTCTTTTATTTTACAGATGAGGAAATCAAGGCTCACAGCAGAGATGGGACATGAGCAAAGTCATCCCACTAGTTGTGGCAGAATATAATGCCCTTGTCACTATGATACATCATCTATAATCTTTAAATGCCCTCCGATACTAATGTTCTGTGATTAGGGGTCTATGTGTGTCTATACAATTTATCCCAATGAATTATAACCTGACTATAGAATTAAAGGCTGAATTTACTATTCTTATCTGTGAAACAAATCCACTGAGGCCTTAATGGCAATATGGAAGTCCAGCTCCTGAAAGCTAACTGGGCATTTAAGAAATGGCCCATCTATTTTGTTTTAATGAGTATCTGCCGCAGTGGGAAAATCTCAAGGCTACCACCTTTGCTCCCTTCCCTATTTGGTCAGGGAGCATAGGATGGGATTTAGGTGGATAGGAAGAGAAAGCAAAGACACTGGTAAATATTTCTGGTGCCAATATGTCTATAATAGTCCAAACACAGTACCAGTGAGCACCATGATCTTAGAAAATAATGTGCCAAGCAACCAGAGCACACATTTACGAGACAGCTTATGATTCTCACTAGCTTCTTCAGCACTGGTGGCAATACGGTGGTACCACAAAGGTGCTGTCCCGGAGCAGTCTCAGTAACCCATCCACCCCCATGGTTAGGAACTTTCCATGTTTGATGGGATTTGCTCTGCTACAGAGTTCCTACCATAAAGGCCCCTCGCCTGTGGGATTATCCTATCTTGCAAGTCCATATATTTACACACTTTAAAACCCCCTGATATTTTCAAATAATTGATTTCCCTTCAGTGAAATGCTGACCTAGTTGTTCCCTAAACCACCAACCAGCCTAGCAACAGGCAGGCGTGCCTGAAGCACTGTGAAAAACACTTTGTTGACGGTGGGGCGTTCTTAACAAAACACTCTACTGTGTCCTCCTATTTCAGCAGAAAGGAAAAGGAGCTAATGACCCACTGCCCAACTGTCTAGGGTGCTGGCCCTGAACATTCATCCCACTTTTGCACTAGGTCAGCTTTCAGACCCGAGACTACATGCCTGGGTAGTTTCAGCTGTTTTAAACTTAAAAAAAAAAAAAAAAAAAAAAGAGCCCCGGGAATAATTTGTCCAAGCCCAAACCCAACTGTTCATTGTATTGAAATCAAAGGAATAGGCGACTGCAGAGTCATTTTGTTTGTTCTAGCTTACTTGGGTTCAGTTGAACTAAAAATACATTGTCACTTACCTTGCTGCATCTAGAATCTGAAAAATCCTCCACCTGTTAAAGGAACAGTAAAACCAGGTGCTAGCAAGAGCGTGGTAAGAGAGGAGTTAAAATAAGAAAAGTTTTCCACTTTGCTTTGATAGTGTATTTTTCCAGCTTCCCAGACCACAAGGAAATAGCCCATGGATGGCTCCTCCACTTTGTTCCCCGTTCACTCTTCTCAAGGAGTGGGGGATTATGAATCAGGGGGCTGAGAGGGGCAGGGCAGCATGAGAGCCAGACCTCTGGAGGGCTACGGGCTGAGAATGATAGATCTACCCCTCGGTCATGTTCATTCCACGCCCCTTCACAAAATTGACGGCAATCTAAGCAAAACACAGAAAGTCAATAAACCAAAAACCAAACCAAAGCAAATGTTATGGCATCACTAAAAAGGAAACACCTGACTGCAAAGACCTATGAGAAATTTACAGGTTTTTTTTTTTTTTTACATATTATCATGACTATATGCGACACAAATAACAAAAGGAAAAGAATGATTAGACTTTGTTGATGCTCTTCAAACATGTGACAATGCAAAGCGCACACGAAGTGATATATAAATCGTCACTCTAGACCCTTCCACCCAAATGCAAGACATTCACCAAAGGAAGCCATGTTTTTCCATGCAAAACAAACAAACAAACAAAATGCTTAGCTGTTTTCTTACTATATGTCTTAAGAGTCACAAAACACATGAATTTCTGATGTTCGCAGGGGCTGGGAATTTGCACACAGGTCAATTGCTAATCTGAGGGTTCAAGGGGAACTCAATTACCTTTTCATTATGAATTAAGCCAGAACAAGGGATATTACAATGTAATAACACATTTGTGTCCAAAACACATTATACAGCCTGTACACTTTCTTGGGAGAAGTGCTTCTTCACATGGGGAATGTCTGGATGCTTTAGGAGTTAACAAAGACTGAATTGTAGTACTAGGAGCACAGCCTTTGCATCACCATTTGCGAAGCAATATAAGACTCTTCTCATAGGTTCCTGGTGTGGCTAACCCCCTTCCCTGGTTCTGTGAGTTGTTAAGACTGCCGGAGAAGCCAACGTTATGAGAAACAAAAGTAATGTACTTGGTGAGCTTGACAAAAGCTCTATTAGACAAGACACCCCATTAGCTGACTTACCATCCAGGGCCCAATGTGCTCCTCTTCCATTCCAGTCGCAAGAAAGAGGCAATCTAGAGTGTTCTGACCTACCTACCCCATGACTTAGCTTCCCTACACAGTGAAGAGAGGCTAGGACCTCTTCCACTGCACTCAGCCTCATGAACAAAAAATAACACAACTTTGGGTGAAAAATTTTTACAAAAGCAACCACTAATAAGAAAACATAAAGCTGTATGTTGACTTTTAGTACTAGAAAACTCCAAAGTCAAATATATAGCACATTCCAAAACCATCATTTTCTATTCTGCTGCACTAATAGAAACCCTCAAATAATAGAATTACATACAGAATTGATTTATATGGGGACTGGACCAAATTTAACTTTAATCAGGGGAACTATTATCTCTTATGATTTAAAAAAATTTCTATGAAAATTTCCCCACTGCCTATGAAAGTTTGCCTGGTGACTGCGTTGAGAAGACTTTTGGGAGTTCATTGCCTTACCTTGGAATCCAGGTTGCCAGAGGTGGAATATTCAATGGTGATCCAGGAAGATGTTACAGGTGCATCAATCAAAAGGGTGGGCAGTCATCAGAAGTGAATCAAAGGCCATGGAGGGAAAATGTAAAAAAAAAAAAAAAAAAAAAAAAAAAAAAAAAAGAAAAAAAAGAAAAAAAAAGGAAAGCATACTGATTAGAAAAAGTGAATTAACTTTATGAACCCATTTTACATTCACACACACACATACATTCTTTTTTTTTTTTTTACAAATAGTTTATTGTCAAATTAGTTTCCACATAACACTCAGTGCTCATCCCCACAGGTCTCCTCCATTCCCATCCCTCCTTCCCGCCACATCCATCAGTCCTCAGTTTTTGTCAGCATTCAAGAGTCTCTCATGGTTTGCCTCTCTCCCTTTCCCCCACCATTTCCGCCCTTCTTCTCCCCCTTGTTCCTCCGTGAAGTTCCTCCTAATCCTCCTATACGTGCAAACATATGATATTTGTCCTTCTCTGCCTGACTTATTTCGCTCAGCATAACCCCCTCAAGGTCCATCCATGTTGCTACACATGGCCAGATTTCATTGTTTCTCATTGCCATGTAGTATTCCATGGTATAGATAAACCACATCTTCTTGATCCATTCATCTGTTGATGGACACTTAGGCTCTTTCCATGTTTTAGCTATTGTGGAGAGTGCTGCTATGAACATTGGGGTACATGTGCTCCTATGCGTCAGCATTTCTGTATCCCTTGGGTAAATTCCTAGCAGACACACATACATTCTTTAGGAAGGTTCTTAAATGGAATCTTTTAAAAGGAGTCTTTAATAAAAGAAAGGGTAATTGTACAATGTGACAGAGGTGGTAAATATCACTACAGTAGCATTCATATTACAATACATATAAATGTATTAAGTTAACACATTGTACACCTTGAATTTATACAATGTTGTACGTCAAATACATTTAATAAAAAATTACCCCACAAAAAAGTTTAGTATTTATTATGTGATAGGCATTAGTTTTTTTTTTTTTTTGTGATAGGCATTGTTAATAGGTATTGAAGATACAGCAGTGAATACAACAGACACAAATCCCTGCTTTCATGTAATGTGCAACCTCGTGGAAGATTTTTTTAAAGCCAAGTTCTTGGAAAAGAGTTCCACAGAAATATACTATGTGTTATTAGCTCTAGAAAAGAGATTTTCCCCATTTTATTTATGTCTTTACTTATGTATTGAGAACATATCCAATGGCATTGGATTCAACAATTGTACTAGAAAGAATTGTCTTTTTGATTGGAGAGGATGTTATTTGCATTCACGAAGTCTCCTTGTGCAAAGCCCTATCAAAAAGCTGTAAGACAGACTTCGTTTCAGCCAGGCCATTTGCTGTCCACAGAACTCCACGTGCGTGCACTTTGCAATGCTATAAAAACAAGCAGTGTCTAAATGGCAGCTATGTAATACTGCAGTGTCACAGAGGTCTTCTCACTGGATGCTGTGGTATTCTGTAACAGCTAGCACCGGTGACACTCTGAGATCAGACTCCTCACCCCTCAGCAAGTCACGTCCTGGGAAAGCAACAGCAGCTGGTGGATAAAAGGAGCTGTGGTTTTCATGCCCAAGACCCAGACACTGGATGGAGAAGAAGCAATCGAGTAACCATCCTCTGGGCTGGAGTTTGAGATGTGACTAAATCTTCCTCAAGTGACAGCTACTGCCTAAATGTCAAATTAGCAAGGAAAGGAAGAGACAAAAATGCAGGGAATACGTATGTATCATTGGAAAGATGGGGCAGACTTGGAGGCCCCAAAACTCCAGATGGCGATTTATGCTAACCAGAAACCTCCAATGATAACACCTACTCCCGGGGATTTATATCCTCAGGGTAGTTGCTCAGGGCTTCAGAAATATACATACCTACAAAAAGCGCTTTCTAGTCACTTTGATATTAAGGATCCAAATAAAGACCTCACTTTCTGAGTACAACATGCCATTTAGGAGTTCAGAGAGCCCAGAACCCAACATTCTGAGCCTATGTATAAATGAGAATATGGCCAAAGCAATAATAGCCGAGCTGACATGCAGCGGATCATCTCTCTTTCTTTCTTTCTTTTTTCTAATAGTTTATTGTCAAATTAGTTTCCACATAACACTCAGTGCTCATCCCCACAAGTGTCCTCCTCCATGCCCATCCCTCCTCCCCCCCCCACATCCATCAGTCCTCAGTTTTTGTCAGCATTCAAGAGTCTCTCATGGTTTGCTTCTCTCCCTTTCTGTCCAGGGAAACAGCTTTGTTTATTTGAAATATAGACTGGCTGGTTCTTTAGGATGGAAAAGTTATACAAGGAAACTTAATTGGAAATCTAACTGATGCACAATTGACCCCCCCCACCGCCGCCCCATTTTTCTTTCTGCTCGTGTAGCTACTTCATCGGTTGGGAGCCTGGGCTGTTGGTGATTGCTGTCAATCAGCAGAAAGATGCACACACTCCCAGATAAAGGCTACACAGATGCTCAGGTTTTGCAAAGAATGGTTTTAAAAAATCCATGCTGACATTGTTTTGGTCTGATTTCAGATCTGCGGCATATAATACGCTCTGTGGGAACCAATTACCTATCACTGTTCCAGAGCTGCCAAGCAAATGGCCCATTCACCCTCTCGAGTTTCTAACACAGGATTAATTTTCTCACCCTCTCACCAACTCCCACACCTCGAGTTGGAGTTGTGGTGCCCTTGATTTCCCACCTTCTTCCCATGTAGGATGCCCCTCCAGCTTCACCCTGGTCTGATCTAGTATACCGTTACCCAATTACCCACCACCTCTTTTTGTACCCCAGGCCACTTGCCCATATAGACTTTGAAGGCCAACTTCAGTATATCCTAGCGAAAAAAAGGTTATTCTGCATGCTAAATCGGGTCCTCTAAATGCGTAGGGGTCCCGTGCCCACAAAGTCCCAGGCAAAGAATTCTTGTTCAAACTGGTGTGAGGAAAGTCCTGAATGCTTCTTATGGGACTAGGCAAAAGCTACCTGTATTCTTTATTTGTGTTAAAATGCTTGGCCTCAGCCTTTTGCTTACACACAAGCCTGAGAGGTAGTGTGGGGCCATGGAATAAACCCAGGCGTCACACAGACTAGTTTTAGTCTGAGCTCTTTCATTTACTACCTGCATGACACTACCAAGGTGCCTTAAGCTCTCAGCCTTGACTCCTTCATCTACAAAATGGGGACAAGTATAGTGCCCACTCCAGTAATGACATTCAACATACTGACCAATCAGAGCAGAAAGCACCTAAAAACAACCTGTGTAGAAAGGCCGATGTGTGCGTCACAAGGCTGCTGTGAGGTTTAGATGAGATCATGCATATGGACCCACTCTAGCAGAG